TTTTTTTGGTAGAAACAGGGTTTCACCATATTGGCCAAGCTGGCCTCCAGCTCCTGGCCTCAAGTGATCCACCTGCCTCAGCCTCTCAAAATGCTGGGGTTACAGGTGTGAGCCACCATGCCCAGCCAAAATTATGAGAGTTCAAATTGAATAGTGAGGCACTTATTCTGCAAAGCGCTTTGAACTTAAGAGTTCCACAATGCCAGGTAAAAAAAGTAAAGAGAAAGGGTGTCTCCAATCTCAATAACATAACTTCTTCTATTCTTCTTAGGAATGTTCCTGGCAGACATAATTGAGAAATACTTTGTTTCCCCAACCCTATTCCGAGTCATCCGATTGGCCCGTATTGGGCGCATCTTGCGTCTGATCAAAGGCGCCAAAGGGATTCGTACCCTGCTCTTTGCCTTAATGATGTCCTTGCCTGCCCTGTTCAACATCGGCCTTCTGCTCTTCCTGGTCATGTTCATCTTCTCCATTTTTGGGATGTCCAATTTTGCATATGTGAAGCATGAGGCTGGTATCGATGACATGTTCAACTTTGAGACATTTGGCAACAGCATGATCTGCCTATTTCAAATCACAACCTCGGCTGGTTGGGATGGCCTGCTGCTGCCCATCCTAAACCGCCCCCCTGACTGCAGCCTAGATAAGGAACACCCAGGGAGTGGCTTTAAGGGAGATTGCGGGAACCCCTCAGTGGGCATCTTCTTCTTTGTAAGCTACATCATCATCTCCTTCCTAATTGTCGTGAACATGTACATTGCCATCATCCTGGAGAACTTCAGTGTAGCCACAGAGGAAAGTGCGGACCCTCTGAGTGAGGATGACTTTGAGACCTTCTATGAGATCTGGGAGAAGTTCGACCCCGACGCCACCCAGTTCATTGAATACTGTAAGCTGGCGGACTTTGCAGATGCCTTGGAGCATCCTCTCCGCGTGCCCAAGCCCAATACCATTGAGCTTATCGCTATGGATCTGCCAATGGTGAGTGGAGACCGCATCCACTGCTTGGACATCCTTTTTGCCTTCACCAAACGGGTCCTGGGAGATAGCGGGGAGTTGGACATCCTGCGGCAGCAGATGGAAGAGCGATTCGTGGCATCCAATCCTTCCAAAGTGTCTTACGAGCCAATCACAACCACGCTGCGTCGCAAGCAGGAAGAGGTATCTGCGGTGGTCCTGCAGCGTGCCTACCGGGGACATTTGGCAAGGCGGGGCTTCATCTGCAAAAAGACAACTTCTAATAAGCTGGAGAATGGAGGCACACACCGGGAGAAAAAAGAGAGCACCCCTTCTACAGCCTCCCTCCCATCCTATGACAGTGTAACCAAACCTGAAAAGGAGAAACAGCAGCGGGCAGAGGAAGGAAGAAGGGAAAGAGCCAAAAGACAAAAAGAGGTCAGAGAATCCAAGTGTTAGAAGAGAGCAAAAATTCAATATCATACAGATCTAAAGCTCGCAAGTGAAAGATTGTTTACAAACTTCCTGAATATTATCAATGCAGAACAGCTGTGGAGACTCTAACCTGAAGATCTATACCAAACGTCGTCCGCTTACCATGTAACACAGCTGCATCTTGAGCAGTGACCTGCCAAGGGCAAAGGACCCCGCTCCCTAGACTCACAGATTTTCTAATGCTTGGGCAGGTGGTTACTGCATGTTCCACATCAGTCAATGCAACTTAGGACAAAACTAATCAGATACAGAAACAGAAGAGAGGCTGCCGGGACCAGCATATTTCTGTTGCAGCCAAATGGATTTTATTTTTTCATTTTGTTGATTCTCAGAAGCAGAAAGCATCACTTTAAAAGTTTGTTTGTTCATACAAACTATATTTGCATTCTTACATTAGTTAAGCTAAGCAGCAAAAAGAAAACACATACACACACACACACTCACACAGACACTCACATTTAGCCCATGTCATTTAATTGTCAGTTTCTTTGACATAAATTGCATCATCTCCACATGGGCTTCACGTGGTTTGCAGATGGGTGGGGGAAAACAATCAGGTTTCTTCAGGCTGAGGAGGACTTGCTCAGGCCGATTCCAAACATTGTGCTCGTTCAATGCGTAGAGATGATTTGCATGATGGCATGCTGTGATCAGAAGTCATGCATGAGATCCATACACCACAGGACACTACTAACCTAGTCCCCTGCATTGGGTCAGCCTTTGGACAGGACCCAGCCCTGCACCGTTCACTGTATTTGGAGAAAATGGTAAGAGTTCCATACTGGCTACAATTCTTTATTATGAGTTCTTAAAAGTCCTTCACACACCTTCTGGGTAGGGAAACAACCAATTAATTGACTACCACCACCACCAACAAAAAACAAACCCAATCCAACAAGCAGATGGATCCGTTGCGTGTATATGTTTAACAGACATCTCTAACATACAGCCATTGTTGCACATTTTGCAAGATGAACTATTTAATGCTGCTCTGTGTCCAGGACATGGGGGAGACTTTGATCCCAAATGGCTTGTACTATTTATGTCACTGTAAAACCAAATCCTAGGGCTAAAAAAGAAAAATTCATTTGTATATTGCAATATTTATGATGATCGTTTAGCCTTCATACTGGAGAATTGACACTTGTTTGGGGTAGAGATAAAAGTGCTATTCAAAGTAGCACCAGTTATCTCTAGGGGTAATTTGGGGAACTTAAAACGACCTTTCATTGGGAGTTATGGGGTGCTCATTTCATTTCACATCATGTCCTCTGCATTGTGGCTTTCTCCAGGCATGGGTCAATACCGCGAGGGGTTCAGATATTCTGAACGGACCTCTCTCTTCTGCAGAGGGGTCGTCGCATACTCACACACTGCATGATTCTTCCTGCCACCATCACATTTCTCCACCAAGTAGGGCTTCCCTTGCCCACAGAGGTGGGTGAGGGTAGCAGCATTGGGGTTACAGCTGTGGTTTCTTTCATTTATTATTAGAATAATAGTCAGTGGTGGGACCTGAGGGAGAGATGGAGCCGCCTCTAAACCAAGCCCACTTGGTTTCTTTACTGCACTGGTTTTCATGAGAAAGCAATTTAATATTAATTCTTCAGGATGTTCCAGCTTCCCCCAGTGCATTCCCTTGCAGCCAGTTTTGCTATCTGCTTAGCGACCTGCCAGCTGTCATTGGAGTGTGGCTTCTGGGGGAGCGTCATATCTTCCATTCCATCTCCTGCTTTAGGAAAGACAGTTTTTAGTCCAGGGGTTTCTCACCTGATGACTGGATTTCAAAGCCAAGATGCTGCAGTTGAATGTGTCAGGAAGTCTACACAAAGAGTGAAAAGAGACTTTAGCATGTGAACCAAATCAAAATAAATTCTTCCTGAACCATACACTAGAGGGGGAAGAAGAACCAACCCGTAATCAGACACACCGATCTGCCTTGCAGTAGAAGCACTTTGAAGGTAATTTCACAGTCCACCTGACTAGTTTTGTGTAGAACAAACCACAGTAAGTTGGTAAGCAGAGCTTTCTATCTTGTCGGACCACTAGAAACTCTGTCCAGCTCTCTTAAGCCTGCTTCTGCAGCAGCATCCGTAGAATTTTTGTACTACACCCAATACCAGACCGGGAAGGCATATCTTTCAGTGACCCTGCTAACTGCTAGGATGAATGTATAGTAACATGTACAGGCTACATTGTAAACAGCACAAAACAGAAGCTGACATGTGTGGTTATTCTTTTTAAGAGAATTATAAATACTGTAATATATAATTTTATTTTATTGGCATGCCTTTTTGTAAATACAAATTATTAACTTATTAAATAGGAAATGGCTTCTGGCTTATGCCATTGTCATGTTTATTTTTATTTTTTATACTTTTCTTTCTTCTTAGAACTTAGATGCTGTCAGCCAATGTACATCCCCAAACCAGACAGACAGACAAAAAATTTTTTATCGCTAATGGTCTTTTCCAAAACAACAAAAAATATATATTTTTGTTCCAATGTGCAATAAATTCTAACCACGTCTATGCAAGATTTGGCTAAACTTAATAATTGTTCTTAGGTCTTGAGATGGGCAACAGAGCTATAAGATCCCGCTAAGCACACCATGTGCTCAAGCTAGTGATGTCATTAAGCTACTAGAGCATATTGATGAGATTTTTCTGAGATCTGACCTTTTCCCTTCCCCAGCTCCTGACCCCAGCCCAGCAGGCTGTCTCCTCAGTAACACATGGGCCTTGGTGTCTGGCATCCACCAGCCAGCCTCATAGGAAAGAAGCCACCTCCGCTCTAATTGAAGTTTCACATTTTTTTAAAAAGAAGTTTCCCACCTTCTTATCCTTCACCCACTATCCTTCCACCTGCTCACTCACTCACTCACTCACTCACCCATCCTGCTCCACACTTCTTTGGTAGTAAATGACACCATCACCAGCAGTTTACACCCGCAGTTAACAGGCATTGAACCGAAAGAATCAGCGATGACGTTTTTGTGTATCTTCGCTGAGTGGGTAAGTGGCAACGCTTTGCCAAATATTAACGAAGCCAATCAAAAAGCAGCAGCAGCCACAGTATCACTGCACATATATATATAGATATATAAATATAATATAAATATTTATTTTTTGTAGCCAGGTCCTTGGTGCAGTATTTATACTCCACAATCCACCTTTTAAAAAAAGGACAAAAAGCAAAAAGACGTGTGATGCTGTTAATTTAAAATGCAGAGCCAAAGCCACTGAGCCGCAGCTGACGTAGTTGCTGGTTTGTGTGTGAAAAACATTTCCCCCTATTCTTTCCCTGACCTCCTTGTTGCTTAGGATGAGGAGACTCCGTAATTTAAAGCAGATGAGAGCAGGAAGAAACTTCCGTGTTAGCATGGCCTACTCTCACTCCTTTCCAAATGAGCCACTTTTGGTGTCAGAAGTTGGCTAGGGAGAGATTAAAAAAAAAAAAAACAGAAACTCCCAGTCAAAGCCCCTAAAGCGACAGTGCCCAGAGTTCTTTTATTTTTCACTGCAACCAACGTAAACCCGTAAGAGACCAACAGTGAAGATTAGTGTATTAGTGAATGCATGGAGGCCAATGCTGCCCTAATGAGACGTGATAAAAAGTCCATCACTCCTCTAAGCCAAAAGGAAACAAAATAAAAATGACCCTTTTTACTGTACAAGGGAAGCCTGTCTTGGTGTGTTTGTTGCTTGACTATCCCAATTCTTGAGTCCTGGGAGGGGTCTGGGAATTGGGACCTTAGCACATTTAGGGAAAGGAGGGGAATGCAGGGAAGAGAAATCAAAGGGGCTCTCGCAAAGTTCTGGCTGAGAAGTAGAGATTGGAAGAAAAGCAAGGTCCTGACCCCCCAGATCCCCACTCACCCATTGCATGTGGCATTTCCCCCCTACTGGCCGGTGCTTAGAGGCTCATAAACCCCTCCTCACCTAATCCACCTGGCAGAGCCCTCAGAGATGATGTCAGCCAACCCAGCTGGACTGGCCTTACTTCTGCCTTTTTCACCTGTATGTTTAAAAAAAAA